CGATCATGGGTTTGTTTAACTGCGGAGGAAGATTTTATCATGTGACTAACTTATCTGATTCATCAGATCAGCTTGCCATAACAGTTTGCTTGGTGGTGAGGATTTGGCATCTGGACTCAAGGACTCAAGGATCTTCCAATCATCATGGGTATCATTTTACAAAGTGTCTTTTGGCTATTTTTCGAGAATAAATTACTATAGTAATAGGTGTGACATACTGCCAACAAAAATTAATCTGGGTGGTTTATAGCACAACAGCCATTTTTTGTCATGGACATTTTCCCAAATCATGATGTTATTTGGGTTAACAGCTGATAGTTATGTTGAGTTCAATGGCAAGTTAGCTGACACAACCAATTATGAAAAGTTGCCATGTCCCCATTCTGGCAGACCACTACCTATCACCTTAGTCAAAATTGACTTATTGGAAGAAAAAAACTAAAGAAAGTCCTCTTGGCTCCCTACTACTACTACTACTACTACTGCTTGCACCAATTACAATCAAAGGCACCAAATGGCTTACCTCCAGATAGAAGGCCTAGTGGAAACCATACCTTAACCTGACAAGAAGCTAAAGGAATCCTTCCCCCAGTCCTTGAAATCAATGGTTAGAAGATCCTCCTCTCCTGGGCTGGATCCACACCCACCTGCATCCATGCCTATCATCAGATCATCTGCAAAAAACTGCCCCAAATACAAAAGAGCCCTAATACTATTCCATATTAATATGGTACATTGTGAATGGAGCTTGGAATATTGCAAAACACAGCCCAAGAGATGTTAAGTGGCTGTGGTGTACATCATCCAGTCAAAAAACCTCAAGATCATTGGTCTCAACACAATATCTATCCTTGCATTGCAGATGACAGCTACAACAAAAGAATTGCAAAGCTGCTGGTTAAAATTCTCCAATCATGGCCTGAATCTGCACAGGGAGTGAAGAGTACTAGTAATAGAATAGTGGGCTTTTTAGGTACACAGTCGGTGCATTTTTGGTTAATCTAGTCTATTTCTATAGATTTTAAGTTTTTATCTTATTCTCGATAACTTTTATAAAGGTATGTATAAATCGATTTTTTTAACCAAAAACACACCAAATTAACCAAAAAATCGCTATCTTATTTGAATACTAAATCGTTTTCTGTCTCGGAGGAGCATAGCGACTCATTATTTGAATATAAGGCGTTAATTGGTGCCATAACTTGCGAAATGCGTCATATTTTAATAGTTTCAGTGCGCTATCGTTTTCGAGACCTGCAATAAAATCACGATAGACTGATTTATAACTCGTTTCAGCTGGCAAAAGTGTAAGCGATTGAGTAATGCGATTGACATTTCTACCAGGACTGGTAGTCCATGAATTTCAGCATAATTTTCGAGAAAATTTTTCACGGCAGTAGCAACGGTTATATCAATGGTGATTTTGGTTTTCATCGCGGTACTTTTTTTACGTTACCGTGAACGCGCGCGGTATGATACCATTCGTTGCTAGGTGATTTCTGACGTTTTCGAAGTGAGTGCGACCAATTCCTAACATGTTTTCTGGCAAAGAGCTGTATTACGATCTCAATAATAAAAAGTTCTCTTATTAGTGCGCGTTTTCTTTTTAAGACGTCGACTAGCAGTTATTTCTCCACCATTCATTGCCTTCAGCTGAGCCATTACAAATATGTCTTGCTCGGATCTAGAGAGGGCTTGAAACACCTCACGTAACTCGGCGAAATTTTCTCTCGGAATTTTTTTTGAGCAACCACAGTTGCAGCCTATCTCCAAGTAACGCATTGTTTTTTCGTATCCGGTTGAACCGTTATAATAACTATTATTCATATACGGGTAGTCCTATATATTATTTTTAAGTGTTTACAGTTAAATTTCCTGAGTTACATATGGTAGATCATATACTTGTTAATTCAATTCACGTGTCAGTATTTACAAACGAAATTGCTTTACAGAACATGTCAGTTATTATAAATAATTCTTTTTGCTATTGTTAGATTTCAAAGAACCAGCAAATTGATGGAAAGAGTGATTGCAAAAAACTTCTGTCTAACACTACTATCAAGATAGGTCAACCCAACAAAGAGGATACAGATCTTCCTGCAAAAGACCTTCCTACATTCTTCATAATTACAGGAGGATACCAACTGTATATCAATATAGTAAATACATAATATCAAGTACAGCTAATAGTTAACTTTCAAAGAAGAAATATCTATCTTAAGTAATTGATCTGTACCTGACAACATAACTAGTTCCTCTGTTCCATCAGCAAATTTCAAGGTAACATTTTCAAGTGTCTCAGAACAAAGAACATAGATGAAATTCCATTCAAGTTGTTGTGGACACTTTTTTTTGCCAAATATCTATAATTGCCCACTCCTTTGCAGCTTGAAGAATTGACGAATATAGACCATCTTCATGGAACCTCTGTTGATGTTCCCTCAACACATCTCCATCTTGTAGAAGCTCAATAGCCTAATTATGTTTATCATTAACATAGAAATCCAAATACCCATTTGACCCAAAGACTGCTCCAACATCTACTGATGTATGTATATTGACAGGAAGAACTTGCATCACTGCATGATAAAACTCCATCTGCCATACTAATACATGCTCAAGAAGCTGACCATCTCTACCCACACCTAAACTCTTTCGTAATGTCATTGGATTCATTGCCCCAAAGACCAGAACAATGAACTCTTTGAATGTTTTAGGTTCTACTACAGCTTGAGGTTGTCCACTGAGACAATCCTGCAAGTAAATAGCATGAAGCAGGGGTGCTGGAAAATCAAGAATTGACTCACCATCCTTTGAAGCATGATTAGTGTCAGTAAGTATGTTCATTTTAACAATACATCTATCATTTGGGATTGCATCATGGCATAGTTTGATCCCTCCTTTTCTAAAAAGAACAGTGTCTGCAAGACTTTTCTCCTTGTTGGTCATACTACTTAATTGTGGAGCAGCACAAATACCCTGAAATAAGTTTAGCAGTATATGAATATAGTAATGATTTGATATAATTAAAAATCTTTATGAAAGTCAAAGATTCAGTATGCTTGACAAATCATTCATGAATCTTATCCATCATGCCTCTTGCATGTATTGAGAAAGTAGTTGAGCATCTGCTTCTCCCAACGGTTTGAGTTTATTCTTGCAAAAACATTTAAAGTAGTCTTCAAATTCAAACTGAGCATAGCACACATCTTTGAAATCCCAGATATTATCCTCATCAAGCTGATGTGGGGAAATCTCTATTGGCTGTCCATTTTCTTCACTGATGGAGTAGGCACCATGGTACCCATAGGACGCAAATGCAACAATACAAAGTTTGCTATACTGTTGAATTTTCTTGAACACATCCCAAACCACCTTACTGCCATGTAGGGGTTCAGTTTTTTCACCCTGTGGTTTGTAGATCTTTTGGATCTTGTCAATAATAAGAATTGTTTCAGTATCAAGTTTATTAACGAAATCTGCCCAGCTAGTACCTGCCATAAGCCACTGAAATTGTTCAGCAAAAGTCCATTCTTCACCAGGTCGTGCCATCCATAGTAATGAGATACAGAAAACACATCATAATCCTTTCTTCACCTCTTCTAATTGAAGCAGACTATGCTAGAACAGCTGGGCAAGAGTCGTTTTTCCGGCCATTGGCAGAGAGTGAACTAGTATAATACACTTATTGAGCAAACATTTGAGTAATCTATCCGTGGTTGGTCTCCTCTGGCATACAGTTTCACGCGTAATATCAACACCCTCGTACCCATCGCCAAGCTCGTCACCAGCTATAATAGTGCCACCTAGCCCTCCTATCAGACCACGAAGGTTATGATATAGAACAAAACGTATGAATACAAAAGACGAAATGTAACTCCATACCTAGTCTTCCCGAGGTCCTGCAGTAGTAAATTTTATGTCAAGGTCCAGTCATAACGGCGAGCAAAGTGCGAAAAAAGTTAGTTAGTCACTGATAGTTTGCTGACATCCCTCAGAGGTGGACAAGCAGAATATAACAAGGAGACCCAACATACAGAATGCATTCGAACTATTCTCTCCATATAACCTAGCACTGCTATGATTCAACTCTAAACTCTATTCCCAATGAGTTTATGTATAACCTAACTCTGCTACGACTCTGCCCCGCCCCAACTAATAACGCCCCAACTGCCTCTCTTGCAATATAGCACAAAACCAGTAACAATATTCAAACTCTTCTCCCCGTTGCTCCTCTATCCTCCCAATAACGTGTGTTGTTTACCTTGCTTACCTTGCTGTGTCTTAAGATACTCTTGGTATAATTCAGGATTATTTTGGCGCATAAACTCAAGTGGGTCCATGTCTATAGATGTTTTTACGATTCAAAAGAAGAGTCGCGATCTGGCTCTGCGCCGCCCAACTCAGCCCTGTTTATACGTTTTACTTACACAAACATGTGATACTTCTCCGTATTGAAGCGCCGGATCAACTGAATCCGTTGGGTCCAGCAGCCATTTATGAGTATCCCTATACTTTGGTCGCCCTGGTGAAATCTATGCTATATATTATTATAAATGCTATTAACGTCTACATTTCCCTTCTCCTTTTCTTTATCTACCCATTTTTTAAGCGCTTCGATTGTTTTTCTCGAGAATTGGCCTTTTAGAATAAAAGCGATAATGCTTTTTCTTCCGTGCATTTTATGGTATTTTACAACCATTTTGTTAAGTACGACTCAGAAATTTTATCAAGTAACTTGTTTTTCCCACAAACTTGATAAATATTTCCGCTCAATGAGCAGCTGGTATTTTGATTTGATTTTATCGCTTGAAAAAGCGTTTGAGTTATAATCCAGACTTTATTGTGAGTTTTATGGTAGAGCGAAGTACCAGCAATAAGCGCGATCAACAGCAATAACTCGCAGATTTCAATAGCGAAGTAAACATTTTGAGTGGGATTGTTATTTGATTTTTTTAGATAATAAAATTGTGCTTCGATAATACGATTGCAATTCAATCGATTGTAATTTGTTTGTTTTTTTTTTGGAGCGAAAACATGGGTGAAATGGTGCTGCTTTTATACTAATTTCAAAATTATAGCTTGAAACAGTTGATTTGGGCTAATTGATTCTAGTGTTTCCTTTTTATTACCTTTAATACTTACCCATTGTTTCTAAAACGATACAGGTTTTGCTGGTCATGAATTGTGTCGGATTTGTAGTACTTGGGACACAGCGAACCAAAATTATCGTATTTATTGCTATTCTTACTTGAACAGTATATAAAGAATCATGGAAATTTGTCCCGATTATCGATTATTATAAAGAAACAGATATTTGCTTTATGTTTCTAGCTTTGTTTCTTTCTTGGTTCATCATAAGTTGGGGTTAATGTTCGTTTAATGGGGGGTTTTTTTTTTCGTTCTTCTTGGTAAATTTCATAAGTGATTTTTTCTTGATCTAGATATTGTTGGAGTGTTTGGGTATTATTGATTTTGAAAACGTAAGGCGCAATTTTTTCTCCTTGTTTTTTCTTTAAAATGCTTCTAACGGTGCTGTAATTCTTTGGTTCCATGATGGATTAATGTAAATTAGTTTCATGGTTATATTTTTTATATAGAGATAGGCCTATATGAAATGTTACTGTTATAATGATAACTGCAAGTAAAACATTTATCTTACCAAGTTTACGTCTTGATACCAAATTAATACAGATTTAAAATGCAACTAAAATTTATCCATGAATTCAGACATGGGTCACAGCTGTGCCACTAATGCTAAATCAAAAAATCAGTCACTCCATATCCAGCCAATTTTTCAGCCACACCAGCAATTTTAGCTCACATAATAAAATGTTCACTTTGTCTGGTTTTGTTGCAGTCTGCCCCATATTATCTTATATTGTATCTAGCTAATTTTGTTTTTGTACCATAGTGGTGAAGTCACAAGCAAAGCGCAATTATTACTTGGAAATAGGAAAATCGAATTTATTTATGTGGAGACAGCAACCACATCAATTTTGTCAAAAAAGGATAAAGATTTGTCAAAATTGCATGAAGCAATAGCTATCATGTTCAAGTTTATAGTATCCTCCTTACCAGAGAAACTTGTATATGAAATATCAGATTTGCCCATTCTTTGCATTCAATTCTGTGGTAAGTAAAGCTATTACTATGTCTTAATTGTTAATTCAAGACCTTTAATAAAATTAAATTGTCACTTCACAGAACAACAGCTGATGTATACCTTGCTAATTGGCCAATTAAAATGCGTCCAGTTGTTTTTTCAATCATGGACTTTGACATTCCAGAACAAGTTACATCTGTTACGGTCGGGTGGTCTGGGGTTTGGGAGAGCAATTAATCTTTCGCGTAGGGGTGTTCTTCCGACCGGGGGATG